TAAACGGCTTCCCCTATTTTTTATTACATATTCTTATAGCTGACCTCGAGAGCTTTCCAAAACGCTATAATAAAGTATTTTTTTTATTAAGAACTTTTTGAATTACTAAAATACTTTATTATAGCGTTTTGGAAAGCTCTCGAGGTCAGCTACAAGAATATGTAATAAAAAATAGGGGATGCCATTTAAAAAAATTGGTGTGACCTTTATGTGACCTTCAAATAATTCTTCAAGGTCAAACCAATGGTACCATCTTATATCCCCCTCGAAACCATACAACTTTTGTCTGAAATATTTTTGTCTGCTGGGCTCAGTTTTCGAGATATTTTACTGTCCAAGTTAAAATGGGACACCCTGTATATCAAGCAGCGTTGCCAAATTAATATATCGATAACAAATTGTTTCTCCACCTTTGGCTAACATCGTTTTGCGAAAATTGCTGTATTATCGAGCGAATTAAAACAGTTAGATATCACATCAGATCAGCCAGACATTATTAATTTTCTCGTTTAGACATATATTTCTAAAAAGATTGAACATTGATACAAAATGTATGTTTTACAATCTCATGTACATGATTTTAAAATATTGTGTCCTCGTGATTTCATCCCAGTAAACATCAACTCATACAGCACGCATGTCTAAAAGACATCTTTAAGTCGTCTTTCAGATATGTATGTCTGGGAAGTAACAGTTACATAACTGTGCCTCGGTGGTCGAATTAGTTGAGACGCCCGCCTAGAGTGTAGGGAAGTCCAGGTTCAAACTCTGGCTGAGGTAATATTTTTCGCAATAAATTTTCTGTATTACTAAAATTGCCAGATACGGCCAATAAAAATCACTAATGTTTATAATATTAAAAGTTCTTTATGTCACATCTGAAGACTAGCTTGATTAAAGACTTAGATTTCTGAACAATTCATAAAATTACATGTTTTTCTTCTAATAATTCCAGCTCTCCCTCTTGGAAATTTCAGCTTCAGAAGATAGAAAAGACGGCAGGATCATATTTGTCAATTAATTAGATATTCTTTTATAATTTTGATTAAAATTTTTAGATTAATTACAAAAATTGCATGAATATGTTTAAACCTAAACTGCGTCTATAAAATTGGAGGTTAAACAACTTTTTCTCGACGATTTTATGAAAGAAAAAATATTTCATTCTATTGTTTCTTATGGTAGTCCATACTGACTCACGTTATGAGCGTTCCGTCATATGAGACGATAAGATTAAAAATAATCATACTACTTTGCTGCACAGCATGCGAAGATGATAAGTAAAAGAACTCTTTGTGTCTTTATATGTGTATGCTTTAATATCCTGTATCTGTAAAATTTAATATTATATCTATATTTCTCAGTATTTCCTTACGATTATAAATAGAAAACTAGAAATTTTCAATACGAAGATTTTTATATAATCAGAAAATTTTAATGCCACTTCAAAAAGTTGAAAGAAATAACGCAATTGAATTAAATTATGTGAAAGACACACCTTAAAAAAATTACCCTTTTTAAAAAAAGGTAAAAAGACGCCAAGTGTAAGCGCTACATCCAATCAAGGATTATGTAATTTAATTACTTGGATATATTTTATTAGAAAAAAAAACATTTTTATCTTTCCTAAAAAAATAATGATATCATTAAATTGCGGCAACTAAAATGGATATTTTAGATTATACAAACTAGATACTTTATTATTTTAATATGTTATATCCAAACAATCGACCATAAGATTTTACCGAAATAAATAAAGGAGACAACAATATTAATGAGACAAATTTGTTATACTTATTCAATAAAAATATAATGCAAACAACTTTAATACAAATAAACATTTTATATCTATTATACAAAAACAACAAATTATTCCAAAAATATTGCACTGCAACATTGCTATAATGTTGCACTGCAATCTCTCTGAGGGCGGACATTTCAACGTTGCTGCAATCTTCCAGAAACGTTGCAATCTTGCAATGTAACATTTCTGCAAGCTTCCTGCAATCTTTCTGTGCTGTATGGAACGTGGGAAAAGCAAACATTACCAACACAAATGAAACAATTCCGGACAGAGTTTTCGGAGAAGTCACGACCCCGATTCATGGAACGAATCGCACGGTTACATGCGACAATTAAGTGGTTCACATCGATACCGTTGATTGAAAAAATGATGAGACCACCGTATAATTTAACAATAACCGGGACAATACGGAGAAACAAAAGGGAAATCCCGGCTGAAATGAAAGTAGCGTCAAGTACACCGCCTGTCAGTTTTGCTTTTCTAAAAAGAAAGATATCACGTTGCTA